TCCAGCAAAAGTAAAAAGTAGTTATTTGAGAAATTACTTGAGTAAAAGTACAAAGTAGTTACCCAAGAAATTACTTGAATAAAAGTAAAAATTAGTTATCCAAGAAATTACTAGAGTAATAGTAAAAAGTAGTTATTTGAGAAATTACTTGAGTAAAAGTACAAAGTAATTATTGAGGAAATTACTCAAGTAAAAGTAAAAAGTATTTATCCTGGAAATTGCTCAAGTAAAAGTAAAAAAAAAAGTATTTGGTAAAAAGGCTAATTAGGTACTGATTAATAGTTGGATAATAACATCTGATTTAATGTTTAGAAATGATGCTGACTAACAGACTTTATGTTCAGATTCTGGTATTTCAAAGCCTCAAATGCCTAAATAATGCAAATAAATATCATGAGTATAAAAAAGCACATTTGTGCAAAAGAAATACTTTTGTCTTTCTTTTATCTTAATTTTGGATTTGTTGAAATTACTCAGATTACACAGTAGTTAAAACTCAACGCTATTTCTGATATTTGAATTGAAAAAGCTTCCTGGATGGGAAGCGAAACGCCTTCAAACTTGGACTGTTTTGGAATAACTCAGATTCTTCACTATCATATTTACAAGTATATTACTTAAGTAAAAGTTAAGAAGTACGGCAGAGTAAAAGTACTGAAAGTAATTTTTCTTTTTCAAATTGTTACTCAAGTAAATGTAACTAATTAATACCCATCTCTAATTTTGAGTAAAGAAACTATGAAAAAGACCAACTCAAGGGAGCACAGGAGTTAAAATCAATGGTTTGGTTTGAAATGTTTTTATAAAATAAAACAAAGGGAAAGGTTATACCTTCAGGGTTAACTGTTTGTGTCCTGCCCTCTTGTCTAGAGGTTGCTGTTTAAATCACAAACACGCCGATTTGTTTGGTGGAGGTTATTTTCCAGGCTTTACATGTCGCAGTCGCTGAACTGGATCTTATCTGACAGCCTGGACAGATTTCTGTTGTGCTGTGAAGCCTTATCCGCTGCTGCTGTGTGAGACCTACTACGGAAACTGAGGAGGGACATTCTACTCTTTCCGGATGGAGGAAACATATCTACCTCCTTTAAACTTTTCAAACCAGTTAAAATAAACAATAAAAAACATAGGCCTGAAACAATTACTTGCATTAATTGACTATTTATTGTCAGCTAATTCAGTAATCGATTAATTGTGAACTGGAGTATAGAGACTCTAAAACATGCCTTTAGCTGACAGAGAGACCCACTCGCCCCAGTTTTTTTTTAAACCAAAATAAAAAAAAAAAAACTTTTTCATCTGTCAATATGCTCCATCCAGGACTCCTCAAGTGGAAAAGTTTTAGTTTTACCTGATTTAACTTTGTACAATGTCTTCTTTAAAGAACATTGGGCTCTCTGATTATTAATCGATTTATGAAAAAAATAATCTATTAATCGATTAGCAAAATAATTGTTAGTCCAGCTCTAGAAACACGTGAAACATTTCTCTGAAAACAGGACTTCTGCGAAGAATAACAGCAGTCTGAAAGCGCTCGTCTGAAGGTTAACAAACAAACTAGTAGTATCTGATGGGGGGGCAGACTAGTTGCTGGACTGCATTGGCCTGTTTCCAACATAGCACCAAAATAAACCTTACTATTATATTATTTAATGACCTGTTCAGAAAAATATTTATAAATTGTCTCCAGCTGTTTGTATCCTTTCAGCTACTCTGATCAAAAACAGCGCCACACAACATGGCGTCTCCCATTGGATGCACCCCTTCCCTTGTATTTATAAACTACTAACTCCAAGCTCTGAGAACTCTTTTTTTTATTTGATGTTATTAGACATTTACAGAAAATGTATGTATTAAAGCAGTACTTAATTTTTGCTAATTAAAAGCCAGATTTGTTACTCACTTTCTCTTTAAATGTTGTTTCGTTACTGGCTATATTTTCAGTTTCAAGTCCTTTAGTTTATTCTGGTTGNTTGTGCGTTATATTTTATACCGCCTTTAAACATGTGATGGTAGTTAATTAGCGTAGTAAACTAGCCCCGTCCGCCAGCGGTCAAAATCATTTTTGCCTGCGAGTTGGTCTAGCCTCAATCAATGCCCCAGGCCCTAGAACTGGCGGGCCAATCACAACGCAGAGATGAGTGTTGAACTTTTGGATGCGTAGCAGGCGGGGTTTTGAGGGCGTGACAACAAAGCTGCGAGACGCTGGAGAAAGCACAACAAGGAAGATGTCAACAACTATTGAACAGTTCTCTTTTTACTCAGCTTTGGAATCAGTTTTGGAAATATTAGACTTGGGTTTTTCATTGAAACATGAGCAGGAAGAGGCTCTACGCTCATTCATTTTTTAAGAAGGACGTATTCGCCGTTTTGCCGATAGGCTGTTTGTTTACACTCCCCCACCAGCTTTCTGTCACGCTTCCTACGTCACAGTCAGTTGCGCTCATTGGTCAGAGCGTTGGCCAATAGGCACAGACATGGTTTGAAAAACAACGGGTTGTTCTCATCAACAATATTCCGATTCTCATTTATCGGGGCCAGACTAAATTACACATGTAGTCTAACATTTAGTCTGGTTTATCAGGCTAGTAGTTAATGGCATCTCTAAGATTTTTAAAAATCAATCGTTGGTTATCTGAATTGCAGTAGTTTGTTTTCTCCAGGGGGAGCTATAACTTCAAAAAAGACATATACCAAAAACCAATCAAACGTATACTAAGTTATCACACCGATCTATTTTAATGAATGCTAACAACAAAAAATAATGTAATAAAGTTTTCTAATAAATTTGCTTTCATTCGAGTCAATGAGTCGATGCAATCAACCGGTTTACCTTAGATATAAAACTTTGAATCAATTTGACTGGATGATCTGGTGAACTGTGAAGTGCCTTGAGATGACATGTGTTGTGAATTGGCGCTATAGAAATAAACTGAATTGAATTAATAAACCAGTTCTATCTGTCTTCATCCATGCTGGATCAGATCCTGACGTCTGAAAAAAGAGGCACGGAAAGCAGAATAAAGCATTAGCCTTGCTGCATGCAGTTAGCCAAGCTTTGTTGCTAAATAATGTAAATACGTCACCAATCCGAAAATTAAAACAGCTTTAGTCGTCATTAAATATTTATCTTGAACATCTAATAAATATATTCTTAAATATAAAAATTTTACAATTACATTTTTATTTGTTTTTTATGTCTTAATATTGGTCATTGGGTGAGTGGGGTGGTAACCTAGCGCCCTCTATGCGCCAGGCGTCACTCCTCAATTGATCTTTAATAATAAATTTGATGATCGCTTCCTTAAGTCGATACCAGTGCTCAGAAGCTTTTTTTTTTTTTTTTAAGTTTAATCTGAGAAATGTAATGCTAAGAGTAGGCCATGTCTAAGGTTGGTCATGGAGTGGCTAGTATTTGACAACGCTGGAGCTCCATCTCACTTCCTTTTGCTTCTATGTTGGCAGAAGTAAATATTTATTCATTTTGGACGCATCGTAATGTATAAAGCCATTATTAATATACCATAGTTCTATTTTATTCTGTAAAAGTATTCCTTTTAAATTTGCTAAACTCTAAAAGTTTATTGTAATTAATAATTTTGTGTTTAAAAGAAGAAGCTATGACATTTAAATGGTTCATAATTTTTGTTTTTTCTTACTTTTTCTGACAGGCGCATGAGGCCTTTGGGTCCTGCTAGAAAAACCCATGGAGCCTGACGTGATCCCCTTGCCCTCCTACTCCCCCCCTCCTCTGGATGGAGGATCGGAGGAGGAGGAGTTTGGGGATTTCTCTACAGGGGGGGTTTGCGCGACAATCGTTCACGCCGGCCAAACAGAACCGACTTCCTTTTTCAGACAGACCTCTCCCATGGAAAAGCCATCCACCGCTCTGCCTAACCCTGCTGAAGAAACGCACCACCCTCCCTCTGAGGAGTCCAGGAACCACGACTCTGAATCTAATTTACATACTGGAGAAGATCGTCTCTCTGAGACCTTTGGTAGCTCTATAGCGAGCTCTTCTTTGGGGGAAACGGGCTTCGCTGATTTTACTTTCTTCACGGAGCAGGTGGGACACCCCTGGTGTTGCGGCTTCACAGAGGAGTGGGATGGAAAAGTGGAAGAGCAGGACTGCGATTCGAGTCGGGAAGTTATTACGGAGCCTAGATCTCAGCATGTACCCAAGGCAAACAGAGGGGTCCGCGTTGAGAGGAAGCACTGTGACAGAAATGCAGCAGTTCAAAACCACCGTCAGTCTCAGGAAGATGAAGCAAATATACGGGCCCCCTGCCATGACGGCCCGTCGTTGGAGGGGGACTCAGCAGACCTGGAGCCAAATGTTTTATCCCTCACGTCTCAAAATGGCCAGACTGATGATGAGACGGAAGTAGTGGAGGTCTGTCTCATCAACAGCAGCACGGCAAAGACGGACGCTCCTCACTGCAATGCGACTCAGGGAACCTCTGCTACCTCCTGCCAGCAACACTCTGGTACTCACTCTCAAGACAAGTGTGCAGACTCTGCAGACGTTAACATGGAGCGTCACAGGGAACCTGTTGAGACAGCCGATACAGGAGTGCGGAGTCTGGGAAGCCTTCCTCCAAGTGACAGCTTTGCAGATTTCTGCTCAGCCCCTGGGCGGGACGATGAAGAGGGGCCGTCGTGGGCAAACTTTACCGAGGAGATGTGGACACAGCTTAGAGAGCCAGAGGAGGAGTCGGAACAGGACGGTGAAACAAGAATGGAGAGATGTCAGGTAGAAAACAGTTCCGTAACTCGGATCCGGTCTCTGTTATCTTTAATCAACACTCCTCTTTTTTCTGTCTCTCTCTCCATGGTCAGGCTTCAGCATCCTGCAGTCTCCAGCGGCTCCTCCGCTCCAGTTTCCCAGAGGTATTTGTCCCGGTTGTGGAAGCTGAGGAGGACCTGCCTAACCTTGGTGCTTTGCTTCACGTCCAGCACTGTGCAGAGACGGAGGAGGGGACGCCAGAACTCCGCCCATCTCTGAGGTGATCAGCTGAGATTTATTAACACTCATGGCTGGTTCCCCTAGGATTAAAATCCATAAAATCTGATTGTTTCTCATTTCTTACATCCATCATAGACAACACCTTCCACCCTCTGCACCAGACTGTAGAGGAGCTGAGCAGCTCCTTTAGTGACAGACCTTTACAGCCTGTTTGTAAAAAGGAGCGCTACCACAGGTCATTCATCCCTGCTGTAACCAGACTATATAATGCGATACTACAACAGCAATAACTTGAGGCAATATCTAATCAATTACTATTTTATACCCTGTGCAATAACCTGTTTTTTATATTTAATACCCAGTGCAATAATTATATATATAAATACCCACTTTAATACCCTTTGCAATAACCCTGTATAATGTGTGACCACTTTATTCTTCTTTTTGACCATTGAGCCAATGTAACATGTACATTTCTCCATTGGAAGATCAATAAAGTCAATCAATCAATTCTACGTTAGAGATTAACCCATACGTCAGCCGGACGATTGATCAGCAGCCATGCCTTGAGGTCATGTTTTGTTGATTGAGGCCCAAAAAACCAGTACGGTTCATCTTAAAGCCTGTCAGGACACCGCCTATCTACTCTGCAAAAACAATATAGAAAAAAGTAAAGATTTATTAAATTAAGTGTATTTAACCTTAATTTAAGAAAGTAAATAAGATGATTTGCCAATAGAATGAGTGGTTTCACTCTTAGAATGAGATCATTAGATAATATGCACGTGAAATAAAACAATGGAATTGTTTTTCTTCTTTTAAATGTAACTTGTCTTGTTCCATTAACTCCTCAATAAAAAATGCACTTATTTTAAGAATAAATGATTTGATTTAAATTATTTGCAGTGTAACCTGATGAGCTCCGCAGGCATAGGCTTAACCACAGAAGCAGACATGGTAACTATGGAGGAGCTGCAGAGTTCTGTTTCTTTTATGTCAACTTTGCACAATGAAACCCTTATTGTCCCGTTAGCTGAGAAACAGCGAACAGGGCAACAGAGCATTGGTTCGCGGCGTCCCATCACATAGACAATCCTGGAGCTGAAGTAAACGGTGTAACTTCTGTTCCTAAACTAAACGATGGTCTGGTTTATGTGGAAAACTGAGATTCTCTCCGATTCTCACTTGGATGTCGGAAACCAGGTTTTAGCAAAACACTTTCAGTCATGATTTTTTTAGGGAAAGTAATGTTTTTTGTCTAGGTTTAATTGCCCGGTAAGGACAGACTGTTATTTGCAGGGATTTTCTCCTGGTTTTATCGTCCAAACTTGTTTCAAAGGTACTTAATGTGCCTCATTTTACTTGGAGTTTGGATTTTTAGTCTCTGTTGCCTCACACTATACTCATTGATTAAATCTGGACTTGCCAGCAGAGCGCTGGGCGTGCATTCTTTTATTTTTTGTTATTTCGAAAGACAGATTTCCATTACATCAGTAATCACAGCTTCATCCATTTAAGATTATAACTGAAGTTATAAGCAGAAAGTTCAAGTGATTTTGTCCATGTTGCCTTTCTGGTATTTTTATCAGAATATCACTAACTTCATTGTAAAGATAACCAAAAATGAACAGAATTAAACAGTAATGGGGATTGCACCACCTCAAGTAATAAAAACCACAAAGACATTAGAGGGCAAGACATATCAGAAGAACAATCAAATGAAGTCGGATCTAATTGGTTTCACGTACTCAGTCCATTTGGACCAAATCTTATAAAATTTTTCTTTTTCTAATTGGAGGGAAAAACAGATCTTTTCCATCACATAAAACTGGTAAACAATTTCAATCCATTCATCAATAGTGGGTGGGTCTGGTTTCATCCATTTCCTTGTGATGGCCTTCTTACTGGCAGCCAGTAGTGTAGCCAGCAGTTTTTTGTCTTTGTTAGTCCATGTGTCCAATTGTAGATTGCCCAGATACAATGTTTCACATTTTAATGGAATACTTACATTGAATATATTTTCAATATGCTTGTGGAACTCTTCCCAATATGGTTTTATTACCTGACAGTCCCAAAAAATGTGAAAGCGGTTAGCTCCTTCAGATCCACAGAGTCTCCAGCAGGCGTCCCCGTAGTTTTGATATCGTTTCTGAGTGGGTGTAACAAAAAATCCTACAATGTTTTTCCAGAAGAACTCCCGCCATGTGTTTGATCTGGTCGAGACCCACTGCAATTGACAAATTTTCTCCCAGCTCTCTTGTTTGATTTTAACCTTAATTTCTTTTTCCCACTTCCTCTTTATGTATTCTGTATTCTCTTGTTTAGACAGCTGTATGGCCTTATATAATTTGGAGATGATTTTGCCATCTGATCCGGGTTTAATTAGTGATAAACTGGGCGTGCATTTCATAAATCAGAGTGTCCAAATAAAAATATAAACTGAGTTGCATTGTGTGTTTCTTCAAACTCCACCCAGGATTCAGCAGTTGATGTTAAATCCACATGAGGACATCCACGCCTCACTCAGCCTCCAGTTTAAGTGGGGGGGTTCCCACAGTAACATGACTCTGCTCAGGTGCCTTGGCGTGGACCCTCGGAACATTGTGAGTTTGCATCAGGAAGGTTTGTATTCAGATCCAGCCGAGCCGATGGGAGTTAATGAGGACGTTCTGTTTTTGTTGTGAAAGGTTTTTATCGGTGCAAAGAAGCAAACTGTGGCTGTGCCAGCTTATGCCTCCTCATTGGTGAGTTCAGGAAGATAATCCAGACCCTTTCTCCCACTGCTGCCTCTATTGTGTTTAAAAATGTCAATTTCCTCTCTTAATATTTGATCAGGGAATGCTGGATCCAACCAAAGACTCTGCGCCAGCCATCTGCTCTCCAAGACGCGTGGCGCTCACTGCACCCTCCGCTCCCGAGGAAACACAGAAATCCCCGATACGCTCTGCTCAGGTAGTGTCTTTCAATCCAAAACAAGGCTGAACACACCAAAGCTGAAACACTGACAGGAATATTGTGAAATCTACGTCTGATCAGGAGCTTCCTTCGAAGACGCCGGACTGGAGCAGCAGAGGCCTTAGCGGCTCCCAGGAGGGTACGTCCCCTTGCCGAGCCCCTCACCCCTAGTAGTTTACCAGCCGCACCCGATGGCTGCCGCTAGAAAGCCAAAAAGAGTCTCCCTTCCTCCAGAGCATGCCCTGCTTCTCTCCTGGTCCTGCTCTGGTTTTCTCTCCTTCACTGCGCTGAGATCATGTTGCTCTCAACTAGCAGAGGAAACACTGAGCTGCCTCCATCTTTTAATTCCTTTCACCGTTTGGATCATTTATCTCAGTATTTATCAGTGCCATCTAAAGTGGTAACACCTTATATGGTTCAGGGTTAGCTGAATCCAGCTGTTTGATCCTGTATTACTGTTTAGCATCTGTCTGCTGCATGACTTTTCACCTTTATTGGACATTTTTTACTTGGTTTATCTTTGAAAATCATCTGTGTGTTTATTTCATTTTTCTTCTTTTCCTCACTAGAACTTACTGGTTTTTACAGATAAAATTAGAGAATGAATACACATCAGCTCAGGTTGTCTGCTTATCTTCATGGCAGACTATCAGGGCCATTGCAGATTTTAAAAATTGGCAAAGTTCCAGAAATAAAATCAGACATTTTAAGGTTTATTTCACAGATTTACAAGAAGAAGCTGTAATATTTTCAGGTTTCAAAAAAGTTTACATTTGTAAGAAGAAAATCATAGTGTTTCAGGATTTAAGGCATGAATTCCTGATATTTAAAGCAGGATTATCACTGACACTTTAAAGTCGGGCATGATGTTAAAGTGATGCGCTCTTTCACGTGTCAGAATGATGTCATCCGGGGGGCAGCCTCCACACATCCGTGTTCCAGCCTGCTCTCGTGTTTCAGTTTTCCATGCCGGTACACGTCCTTCTGTCCTGAAAAAAAGCCCCAGATCTTCAGATTACAATTTGGAAAATATACAGATGTTCTACTAATACAGTCGGAGAAGAAAAGTCATGAAAAGAAAATTATCTTTTTTTTCTTGCAAATATAACTTTTTCAACATCAGAATATATTAAGCTTTCGTCTTTGAAAATGTCAAAGGAATCTTTAATTTCTGATTTAACGATTAAAAGGGGGAAATTTCTTATTTCTTATCCATCATGACTCTCGTGATCCATTGTGCATTTTTGCTCAGGAATGTTTGATAATTAGGATTTCTGCTGCAGGTTTGGGGGAAAAAAGGTAAAAAATGTGACAGTTTCAAAGTTATATGATGCTTTTTTTTTTTTAATTATAACTTAGTTTTAAAAACCTAAAAATCCAAGACAAACATAAACTCTGATGCTTGTAATGATCCCAAACTACACTACCGTGGTTTAGGTATATTTTGATGTTGGGAGGTTATTCTAAATAAATAAATGCATAGGGGTTATTATTGGCTTGGGTGTTGTAATACGATACATGTCTCGATATTTGGTTCACGATACGATATCACAATATTGCAATATCACCATATTTTGCAGTATTTTTCCCAGCTAACAAAATATAGATAAAAAAATAAGTGCTGTATCTGTTCATCAAAAGGTATTGGTCATTTAGTTGTATTTTGGGGTTTGAATCAGTCCACGTCTTCCACTGTGACTGCCTCAACTACAGATATGGAGCTGTGCCGCACAGCAAAAGGGCTTGTTTTAGGTAAAAATGTTTTTTTTTTTTTTTAAATCAATGCTAGGAACTGAAAGATCGATATTATATCGGGGACCAGAAATCACAATATACCACTGAATGGATTTTTTCCCCCCACACCTATAAATAAATCAGGTAATTCAATTCAGTTTATTTCTATAGCGCCAATTCACAACACGTCATCTCAAGGCACTTTACAGTTCACCAGATCATGCAGTCAAATTGATTCAGAATTTTCTATCTAAGGAAAACCAGCTGATTGCATCGACTCATTGACTCTTCAGGAATCCTTCACACTAAGCATGCTTGTAGCGACAGTGGAGAGGAAAAACTGCCTTTTAACAGGAAGAAACCTCCAGCAAAACCAGGCTCACACTGAGCCTGGTTCTGCTAGGGTTCAAGGACACAGAAGCAGATATAAAAAAAGCAACTGTAAATTTAATTCAAAGTTCGTTATAAGAATTTTTCTTATTTGTTTAAAAAAAACCTCAGCGAGCTAAATTACTTGTTAAATTTTGCTACAACAGGAAATTTTTTACTGCATTCAATTTAAGAAAACAAAATCACAGTAAAGGATAAGAGATAAAATTTACTTGTTTATCTTGTCATGGTAATTTAAAAAAAATGTAAAACTACAAACTTTATTGTATTTTATCTTCAAATCATACTTAAATATCTTTTGCTGTAGAACTACAAAGTGAAAAATACAGTACTGAAGTATTTAAAAGAAGAACTACCTGTTTAATAAAAAATCATTTGCAAAAACATGTTTCCTAAAATGCAAGGTGAATTTCTTTATCTTATATAAAACCATATTTGATTAAAAAAAAAAGTTCTCCTCCTTAAATAAAAAAAACATAAATTAAATGTATCTGTAATAAATAGGAAGATTAAAGTTTTTTTTTTTCCCCCCTAACAATGAAACGGAGTTGTTTCATTCACTTATAACCTGTAGAGGGCAGCATGTTTTCAGGTTAGAAATAAACAAAACATTACTTAAAATAAACCTCAACCACATTATGATTAATTTAAATAAAGTTTTACAAACCTGCTGTGTCATTCAGCTCTATTTTCTATTATTCTTTCTAATCCTTTTTATTATTATTTGTGCACTTAAACCTGTCTTACAAGCTCTACAGCTCTGTTTTTTAAAGACAGTATGCAATAAAATCATTCAAATAAAATAGTTTTTCTGTATTTTTTTCATTACCAATAAAAACAGTTTCTGCTTTAAAAAAAATAAGGCAGAGCATTTTATTGATGAATTGTACCTTGTTTCTACCTTTTCCTCCCCTAACTTCTTGAACTGTTTATTAATAACCTGAAGGTTTTTTTACTTAACTTATTTGTTTCTGTTGCTCATCTTGAGCTCTTTCCCTTAATACTGTTGGGAAAATGCTTGTAAATACTGAAATAAATCAATTGATCCTCCTTGTTTGGTTCGGCCCTATCTTCTCCTTGCTCCTTCACTATAGCTTAAAATTAGACAGCTTTGTTCTCTGGAAATGCACTTTTTATCTATTTAATGTGTTGGTAATTGTTGTTTTATGAAGGTATTATTGTGGGGTTTTTTTTTTAGATAGACTGTATCCCGTTTGAGCAGTATTACGCCCTGAGAGTCACTCCTTTTAGAAGCAATGCCGGCACTAAGTCTGACCTGTTGTCGGTGCATGTTGGACTGTGCCAGGGCTGCGCTCGCATCCCTGCTTTTTGTAGATAACGTGGTTCTGCTGGCAAGACCTGCAGCATTAACTGGGGCGGTTTGCAGCCGAGTGTAAAGAGGCCAGGATGAGAATCATCTCCTTGAGTCCGATGCCATGGTTTTGCACCGTATAAAGGTGGCTTTTCCCCTTCAGGTTGGAGGAGAGTTCTTGCCTCAAGTGGAGGAGTTCAAGTATCTTGGGGTCCTGTTCATGAGTGAGGGAAGAAGCTAGAGATCAATTGATGGATCGGTGCGGCCGCCGCTGTAAGGCGGAAATGCACCGGTCTGTCGTCGTGAAGAGAGAGCTCAGCAAAAAGGCAAAGCTCTTGATTTGCGGTCAATCTACATTCCTACTAGGGTTGGGAATTGATAAGATTTTCTCGATTCCAATTCCCTTATCGATTATGTGAAACAATTTGATTCCTTATCGATTCTCTCATTGATTCTGTGAAACAATGAACTTGGCAAGTGCACACTGACATTCGTCTACCTTCGCCTGGGACATTCTATATCTGAATGCTTTGTTGAAAACAGAAGGCAATGAACGGGAGCTGCCAGCCTCTGAGCCAGCCAGGCTACTCGTCTTATCACAGTCTTCTAAATCTAATGGAGAAGGCATCCGTTTAATGAAAAAGCATTACTGTACAATTTCGGGAAATAAACTCATCTCCCCCTGATTTACATAAACAAGCGTCACCTTTCTCTCACTGCCTGAACTGCGGAGCAACTTCATAGCATGTTTAATAACCCCAAAGAGAGATAGGAAATTGGTTTATTTCCAGAAATGGCATCTGATTTACTAGGAACCACATGAAGCACAGCTACTTACCACCAGATTTGCCTTCCATGCTGGTCGTAACTTTAGCTTCTGTCCAGAAGCCATCAAAAACACGGCATTCGTTAAAATGTATGCCATGTTGTGTGCACAGGTGTTTCTGCATGTTGGATGTATTTCCTCCCGCAGATGTAATTGCCACTTTGCAATGCCACTCTGCAACTCTTGCAATGAAAACACCTTGTTACCATCTTTCTCTTCCTTTAAATGAAGCCAAATTTTTGGTCGCTTTGAGCGCTTTTGTTTTGCTTTTCTAGACTTACACCTGGTTATGTCGTACTTGCTTACTGAATGCCGTGTGCGTAACTTGCGTAAAAAAAACGTGACGTAAGTCGTGCTGCCCACCGCTAGGCTCTGGTGCTGCCTAGAATCGCCAAGCGAGCTGCCAAACGGTGCCATGGAATTGGAACACACCGGTTCTGAACAGGAACCAGTTTTCGATTCCCATCCCTAATTCCTACCCTCACCTATAGTCATGAAATCTGGATCATGAACGAAAGAAGGAGATCCGGATGCAAGCGGCTGAAATGAGCGTCCTCCACCGGGTGGCTGGGCTCTCCCTTAGAGAAAGGGTGAGGAGCTCATTCATTCAGGAAAGCCTTGGGCTAGAGCTGCTTCTCCTCCATATAAAAAGGAGTCTGCTGAGGTGGTTCAGACATCTTTTTCTGATGCCTCTTGATCTGTGGAGGTGTTCCGCGCACGTCCCACTGGGAGGAGGCCCATGACACCCTGGAGGGACGATGTCTCTCAGATGTTCTGGGAGCGCCTCGAGGAGGTGTTTGTGGAGAGGGAAGTCTGGGAGTCTCTACTGAGACTGCTTCCTCCGCGACCCAGTCCTGGATGAAGCAGCAGACGATGAGACTGTAGTAAACAAAATAAAGAGCACTTTAATAAAGCTTTGACTGCCTGTTATAGAGCTAGCATTTTAAGGATTGTAGTGTCTGCTTTAAAATACAGCGTCAATTCTCATTTCCAATCAATTTCTCCTGTTGCTAACAGTCTGCTCCTCATTCGACCTTGATTATTTTGGTTCTGAAGAAGAAAGCATGTCCAGCAGCAGCAGGCGAACCAGCAGTCCTCCTCCAGGTTAGCGTGTGAAGCTACAGAACTTGCTGCCCTGTTCTCTAAACCAAATCAGTGCTGCTTTATGCTCTGGTAATTCCCTTCAAGCTCTTGTCCCTTTTTATGTCTATTATGCGCACCTGCGTCTAAAGGTGTTGACCGTGAGCTGTATGAATTAATCATCAGTAAACTGGAAACTGGCAACAGCCAGAAAGAAGATGCTCTGAATCGACTGATGTCGGCTGCAGGGAGGACGAACGTATCCGCCAGGTCTGCAGCCAAATGCTTTCTGGAATTATCATTTAAAGTATGATCAGTAAATTGACTGTTAATCTTTATGTCTGTTGATTTGTGTTTCTTTTCTTGATCAGGAAGCCATCAGCGCAAGAAGAGCTCAGTGCAGAGGCAGGCAGAATGATTTCTGAACTTCCTGACCTGACCTTCATGCAGGCCAAGGTTCTGATGTTCCCAATGTCTCTTGCCCCCAGCACTCACTCTTCTCCAGAACTATTTTAACCTGCAACATCAGAGGCTGCATCTACAACAAAGAACTGTTTAAAAAGACAGGAAAAACACCACATATATGAACTTTATATCAATTGATGTAGAAAAAAAGCAGAGCCTGACACTCTACCTACTGGCCTATTTCATTTATGCAGTCAGTGTTCTTCTATTTTCTTTTACCATACTGCGCCCTCTGCTGGCTGTTTACTTTTACCACTATTGAGCACACTAAGTATAGTAAAGTGTAGTCCTAAGATTTTGTTTTTTAACCAACATGTTTTTACTTTAGATACTGCACTTTTTTCAAGTATGTTTTAAGAATGCATAGGTTTATTTTGATAAAAAATGTGTAAAAGTATAATTAAAATAGATAATTTTTTTTCACTCACTTAAAACAACTTCATGGATCACCTAAGAAGATCTAAAGATGGGAAGTTTCAGATATAAAGACATGTTGAAACTAATTTATCTTTTGCTTGGTTAAAAAAACAACAACAAACAGTTACTGTTTTAATTACACTTAAATGTTTTGGTTTATCAAACCAATTTTAACTTCCGACTAATATAAGTAAATGCCATAAGAACTTTGCAGATTTGGATTTTACATTGCTGCTTAACCCTATGGGAAAATATATTATTAAGTTCATCATCCAGACCAAAGTATCTGAAAAATCAAGAAATTAGATAAATAGAAGAATTCACACAACATGAAGTTGGTTAAAATATATATATAAAACACCAACTAAGCAGGTTATGACCTAAAGAAGTTCAAATGCAGATCAGAAACAGGAAGTTAAGCAATAGAAATGAACTGGATGAACATCAAACATAGAGTCAAACATTGGGAATTTATAGTGTGAGTTTAGGGCTGCTTCAGGGCTTTTAAAACCTAATATAGAGAATGAAACCATTATTCCAGCACTCTACCAAAGTGTACTGCTTATTTTGAGTTACCTGTCCTGGAACCAGGTTTAGTATAATTGCCTATAAAAATAGATAAATAAATGGAGAAAACATATAACTAACTGAAACTGTATTGTGTGTTTATAACACTGACTAAAACATACTAGAATTTAGGACTGAAGCGATTAATCAGGATTTATATTTTTTTCAAATACATGTCAATTAATTTGGTAATTGAATCAAATCATTACTTAGTACAATAGTAAACTCTAAAACATGACATTTGCTAAAAGAATAACCTACTTGTAGCACTATATAAGACAATATACATTTAAACTATAAAAATTGGTAAACAAAAAACGCTCATTTATATATATACATATGCATACCTATCTTTTCCTTTCATATTTCGAGTTCGTTATAAGCTTTCCCACCCGATGCAATTGTTTTTCCTTTTCTCCTCTACATGACTTTTTAAAGTCAGCTGTAATTTAACATGTGATGGAATATAATATCTTTTTAACCCTTGTATCATTTATATGTACATGGAAATACGATGCTCTGAACTTTTTAACCCAGTACCCTAAAATTTAACAACAGTATTGATTAAAAAAAAAAACTGATAACAGAATAAATGAAATAAAAAACTAAGCATTTGAAAATAACTGTAACTAATAAAAAACAAGAAAAACTAACAAACCAGTTATAATAACGGATTTAAATTAACTGAATTAGAGAAAAAGCTAAAACTAAATCGCCTATAAAACCTCTTAATAATGCTTATTTTCCCCCTCATGAACATATTGGTATCATTTATAAAATTGTTTTGTATAACAGTTAGCCAGTTTACTGAACATCTGTAGGGCTGTTGCAATGATTTATTGATAAAAAATTTGTTGAAAAACAAATTTTTGCCTAAAAGACAATTTTTTTATCACATTAGTTGCGGATCTGATTAACTCAACATCCTGAATACTTGGTCTGCATATATGTTAGCGTTGAGGCCTTACAGGAGAGGGTTCAGGGTTCACTTCTTAACCAGGGCCTTTTATTGCAATGAGCTTACATTTTCTTCTTGTGCAGGTGTGGGTTCTCCCCAGGTATTTTCACTTTCTTGCTGAATGCATAAGAGTGCAGAGTCCATGAAAACCTCTAGGTTGAATTCCACAACTTTTAACTCTTGGAACTGAAACAATCCAAGTTTGGACTTCAGAAGGAAATTAATCTAATCATAAATACCCACCTATATTTCTTTCATATTAACTGTGATCCTTGACATCACAGTTACTAATAATTGGTCATCAACAGCTGCGCTGTAGAGGTGGTCAGCAGTAACTAATTCCTTGGGGTGCACATCACAGACACCCTAAACTGGAATGTAAACACCACCTCACTGGTCAAAAGGGCACAAAATTGAATGTACTTCCTGTGGAGGATGAGGAGAGTTCACCTGCCCCCACCCATCCTCACCACCTTCTACAGAAGCACCATAGAGAGCGTTCTGACCAGCTGTCTCACTGTGTGGTGTGGAGGCTGCAGC